ACTAAACCTAAAATCACAGTAACCTGCGTGCTGAAGTCTAAAATTTAAACAATCAATTACATGCAATTAGGTTCAAAAAAGAGCAGTAGCAAGGGGTAACGTGCTTTAAGGACAGTCAATGCACTGGAGGTAGAAGCAGAGATGACAAATGAGATAGATAGAAACTTTTCCCAGCAATAGCAGCTACTTCTGCAGATTTGGAAACTTGCTCCTTTTTTTTTGGGGTGTATTTTCAGTTCAATAACTGGCTCATTCAGAGCTGAGGAACCACAAAGGACTGAAAAAAAAATGTGTGCCTTTTATCTTTCCCATAATCAGGGAAACAAAAAAACCAACAAACTAACCTGGCAGAGGATGACATGTGCTAATTCTAAAATCTTGAAGGGATGGTTTCCAGAAACACTCCTTCAACTCACCAATCGCTTCTCGCTTTGGTTTCATGCACTAGGTGTTTTTTAAGTAAATGTATTCTGAAATTTACTTTCCCTTCTATATTGAATATATACCAGGGAAGCAGGATTTTACTAGCAAAAACAATTCAAATTACTGCTGGGGTACTTTAGCATGGCATTCCAATTTTCATCCAAAAGCATCACAACTCAAATCATGAGTAATAATGTAATCACCACCTCCTTAATAACAAATAATAATTCACTGTTTTTCTAATGTAACAAACATCTAAAAACGAAGACTAAAGGCATATTGTATTACATAACAGATAAAAATAAATGTAGCAAATACAGGGTGTTTGGTGAATAAAAGAATAATCAAATTTAATAATTGGGCAGTGGTAGGGTAACTGTACTTGGTTTGATGTGTGCTGGTCAGTAAAATTTGACGTTTTTTAGGGAAATGGGTAAAAAAAAAAAAGAAATGCAAAACCAGAAAAAAATCAATTACTGAATCCAAGTGACCTGCTGCCTGATTTAAATCACAACTAAAGCCTGGGATTTTAATCCTTCTGATTTATATCAGTCTCTGAAACTCAGTAGAGAGACCCCAATGCAAGAACATGACTCTTGTGGAGCATGTGAATGCTGGTCTTTGCATGAGAGTGCCAAGACCCCCTTATTACATGCTCCAGCTCTTTTTTGGCAAGCAGTGCCTCAAACACATGTTTTAAGAACCGCAACATGCACATGTCTGTAAGATGAGTAACTTCTTGGCAGGACTCAACCCCGTTTTGTTGAGGGCCAAGAAAACACCAGACAAAAAGAAGTTCCTCACCCCAAGATCCTACTGCTCATACTAGAGCTGACACACATTTAATCCACGTTTGAGGAAAGAAGGAAGGTGCAGAAAAAAGAGTCCTCTCTGGTCCTCAAGGCTACATTCAGCCCAGGGGGAAACCTTACAGCTGAAATACCAACCCAAGGAAAGGCATGAAAGAAAAGGTTTCACTCCTCTTTTGCTCCTTTCCCATCTCCCAAGGATTTCCTGCATCCTCACTCTCTGGAGCAGGACTTCACTACCTCCTTATTCTGCCCGACACTTCTCAGCACATTGAAATATTGACCTTTCCCCTCTTCCTTTACCTTTTCCCTCCCAAGAAAGTAACTGCACCCATCACACCCCAAGGCAGCTGCATTTGTAGTGTATGCAAATACACGTGGTGACAAAAACCACTTTTCTAACCCTTTGGAAGATTTGCAGCTCACTTGCTTGCAAGCAGAAACCAGATGAAAGCTAGAACCTGAGCCCTGTTCAGCAGCTTGCTGTGTGAGCAGATGTATGTCCCAAGGGACGCGGTGTGACACTCCATCGTGCTTCACCACGAGCCCCTCCAGCCCACACACACCAGCTGCTAAAAGTGAGGTTCCCACCCAGAATCCAGCCTTGCCCCTGCAGGGCGCTGAGTGCCCTGAATTCCCTGGATTTTGAACAAGACGAAGGAGAGGAGATACAGTATGGAGGAGGACTGGCCCCAGAGCACGCCAAGAGCAGGGATTTGGAGCAGGTATCTGCTGAAGCCAGTGAATCAGAGTGATTTAAAAACAAAGCAATACACAACCGATCAGGCGAGACGGCAAAATTCCCTGCAAGTTGTTAGCAAAAACAAGTGGCCATCCACTGCAATTTTTCTGTCACATCTGAAGGGAAACATCCATGTTGCACGTCCCTGCATAAGTGAGGTGAGGCTTCACAGGACTGCCTGCATCCCCCCCGATTGCTCCCCACGCTGCCGGGAGGCTGTCCCACATGGCACGGCACTTGTGAAACGACTGTGGCAGGCAAACACATGGCCTTGCTGCTCCCTCCTCAGCACTCTTGGGTTTTCAGGCTTCTGGGCACCAGTGACCCACGAGGCCCATGAAAATCAGAGGCTGACCCTGGTGACAGCAGCCTCGGGCAGCCCTGGGGACCCCACTCTCAGCTCCTCAACCTTGCTGCACCCCAGGACCGGCCACAGAAGAGAAGCAAGGGTCTAGACTGCATGGGAGCATCCCCAGAGCCACAGCCAGCTCCCATCTCACTGTGGGAAGGCAGCACCCTTCGTCCATCTCCACCCTCTTCTCCAGGAGCAGTCCTTGAGAAGTCCATTTATCCGGCTGAGCGGGCAGGGCTGTGTCAGGAGCAAGGCTCCTTTCAGCCAGGGAGGGAAGGGGAGGACAGCCCCGGGCAGGGAAAAGGATGGCTCTTCCCAGACCCAGACCCAAAAGCAGTTGGGGGCATGAAGGAGAGTGGTGAGGACGGCTCAGGTCACAGGGCGACTGTCAGCAACTGGGATGGCTGTTCCCACTCCCAGTGGCCAATATGGAGGGACTCGGCTGTGGAGGACCGACACTTGGTCCAGGACAAGGCAGGAAAGCCAGACCCAAGGAAGGCAGCCCAGCTGGTCTCTGCAGTGAGCAGCCCCTCCTCGGCCCTTGGCCTGGGGACCTTTTGGGCTGTCACTAGAGCTAACGCTTGATCCATGACTAGGACCTGAAAAGCCAGCAGGCTGGGAAATGAAGTGGCCAGAAGTCCAAGAGGCTGGTGCCCTGACAAAATGCCAGGGAAGGCGTGTCTCCAAAAACCAGCATCACCCCGAGCCTTCTCCCAGGAGGAACGCCGGGTTACCAAGCCCTAAAGCCAGCAGCACTGATGGTGCGGGCAGCAGCTGTGCCTGGGGCTCCCAAGCTGGCCAGGAGGAGAGGCCATGCAACGAGCCGTGCCTCCAGCTCATTCCCAGGGGCTCAGCCTGCCGTAAAGCCAGCCGGCACAGGGTGCCAGTGGCTGGCACCTCTGCAGGCAGACAGAGGATGGCGGACACCCAAGGCAGAGCTGCTCTGGACCCAGACCAAATGGAGCAGCCAGCGACACACAGGGCACGTGTGCACCGCTGGCAGTGCCAGGGAGATGGAGACCATCACACTGCTGGCCTGGCATCCTTCACGGCACCCACGAACACCCAACAGTGTGTGAAAGGCAGATTTGCCACCGGGACGGAGCGCTGCAAGAAGGGAGCTCGGCTGGTGGGCCTTGCCGTGCTGCTCCTCTGTGGGCAACCTGCTCGTGGCTCACCCTGGGCTGGGGAGAGCTGGGAGTGCTCCCCCACGGAGGGAGTCTGGCAGAAAGGAAGAAACAAAACCTTCCTAAAGGACTGGAGCAGGGAGGGACATGAACAGCATCTCTCCAAACTCCATCAGGCAGAGACACCTGTGCAAGACGACAGCACTGATATAAACACAGGCAGAAACCACCAGCTGACAGATGATACTCCAGAGCTGGGGATGCTTTGTCAGAGTAAGAGATGACAGCAACAGAGAGCTCTTGCCATAAATAAAATGAGGAAGGACAAGATGCAAAGCAACCCTGCATCCCCCAGGAGACCCCAGGAAAAGCCCGAGCCCACAGAGCAGGACATGCCACACAACTCCTGCAGTCCCTGCTCCCTCCCCGTGATCCCCCCAACACGGCACACAGGCAAGGCAAATCTGCTCCCAGGCAAGGAAGCAAATTTTAATGCTACCTCTGTCAATAATGCAACCAGATCCATAGTTCAAAAGGAGCTTGCTAATTAAAAGCTGGTGAGCTTTAAATAATTCATCTCCTTAACTTGGATTGATTGGAGAGTTTAATGGTTAGAGTCTTGAAACAATATTAAACAGCCTCCTCAAGGCCCAGGTAGCAGGTGACTTTTCCAAGTAAATCTTACCTCCTTGCAAACTTTAATGCTCACAAGTCACCGTGGATGAAGGGTTGGGAGGCAGAGGGAACACCTGACCACTGGTCTCCAAGAGGCAATCCACCGCCCAGCAGAAAAACAAGACAGGCAAGAGTGATGCAGCCCTGGGTTCCAGCCCTGCCTACAGCCCAGTAAATTAGAGCTCCTGCCCCAGCTCTGTGCCCCCAGCGTTAAGCAGGAGGCAGATATATGGCCTTGGGGTCCTGGGCCAGGTTCCCCTCCTCATGTCACTTTGATTCCTAGTGCAGAGGAGCTAGGGGAAACATGGAGCTCTGCCACTGTGCATGGTAGTCTCAGTTGTTTATATTGGAGCAGGCTGCGGGACCATGAAACTCATCACACGTGCGAGCAAACGGGACAATGGTTGGGTTTTCCAGCTGGGGCCACGCATCTTCACCCCACAGCATGTTTCCAGCCAGCTCCCGAGGCCACACTGCCTGGCAGAGCCTCCCTTCCAAGGACACGCACAACATCCAGAGCAGCTGGAGAACTGGCCCGACAGGGAGAGCATCCCGCCCAGCCTGAGGACCCCTGCCCCACGCGTGAGCCCTGGTGCTGCCCACATCCACCCCCAGCCCGAGCACTGCCAGCAGCCAAAGAGAGGAGCAGCTCCTTGGCCAGAGGGACGTTTGCCACGCTGGGATGTGCCAGGCACCAAGAGCTCCTCCCGCATGCCAATCCTAGCATGTCTTCATCCCTTCCACCGGACCTCGTGGAAGGGTTGGGTCTCAGCACCCCAGCCTGGAGCAGCTCTGGGAGCCGAGGCACATCCCGCGCAGCCGGAGCAGCAGGAGCCGTGGGGACGGGACGGGCGCGGGGCGGCAGCACTCACCTATCCCGCTGTGAGGCCTCCCTATGTGCTGTAGGTTCAGTCCTTTGTTCATGTCTAAGAGCCCGTTCTTTGGCCAACTCCCCATGGCAAAGCTGTACGCCTGGAAGAGAGAAGCAGAGGGTCAGACCGGCGCACAGCGCGGACGCGTTTTGTACTCGCCCAGGCCTGTGTTCCCCACGTTCAGTGTGGATGTCCACCATCACCCTCGCAGCAGTTCTCCATGTGCCACCTCCACTAAGCACCCTCACACTGGCCTGTCCCACCTGACGCTCCTCAGAGAAGAGGTGCCCAGGGCCTGTCCTTGCCCAGGTGACAACTTTCATGAGGTTTGCTGGGCACTGTGCCGGATCACTGTCACCCGAGGCCACCGTTGCCACACGGAAGCCAGCTGGGGGCTGTGAGCTCACCCTGCACATCCCTGGGCTGATCCAACACCATTCCTTCATCCATGTTTCATCAAGGATGGGGTCAGCAGCATGAGTCAAGGGGGTCTGGAAAGGGGTGCTCATGCCCAGGGTGGCCCGGCTGGCAGTCCCCTTCCCCTCTGGCAAGCACAGCCCTCCCAGCCTCCCCTCTCCTTTCCATTCCCAGAGCACCAGTTGCCTTGGGGCTCTCCATCGCTGGGAGAAACCCAGCCTGCTCCATCTCCACCAGCATCCCCCAGCCGGAGCGAGGTGGGCAGGAGCCCCAGCAGCACAAAAAGCCACCGGCCAAGGCGAACGTGAAAGCAGCCTCCCCATCACAAGCAACAGCTGTAATTACAGCCTGACAGCCACGTATCTTCTTCATCTTGGGGGAATTAAGCTCAGCGCCGCATTGTGAGCGCTAAGAAGGGCGCGCGGGCTTAGCGTCGCTCACGGCTGGCGCTATCTCCGCTGCCGTGAGGGCCATTGTCCCCAGATGAGATCAGGTCGATCCGGCAGCCCCTATCTCCCTCCTGCAGCAGGGATCATCGCTCGCCACGGCCACGGCGCGGCAGGGCATCACCGACACCCTCCGCGGGCTGGGGACGCCAGGGGAGATGCTCTCAGCTGTGGGAATGGGGACAAACTGGGCGAGAGGAGCTGAGCGGTCCCTGTGGCAGGCAGGTGGGTGGTGGGCTGGTGGGGGGGTCCCCCCCCACCAGCCCACCACCCACCTGCCTGCCACAGGGACCTGCTGCTCTCCCCTGCGCAGCCCCCGCCAGCGGCAGCCCCCCGGGAGCTATGGGGCTTGGGGGAGTTAATTTATTACTGGCCTACGTAACCGTTCACGCTGCTTTGTTACTCCTGCCTTAGCAAAACAGAGGGCTCCACAGATAATTAATAGACAGCATTGCTAATCCTGTTGGGAGATGATTAGCAATTAAAACTCCTAATTAAGTCTATGCATAATTCACTGAAATTACACTTTGTGTACACAACAGGGGAGGTTTCCTTCGCCTTCAACAAACATGCCCTGGCATCTCCATCGCTGTGGGCGGGATGCAGGCTGGCTAGCCACGGGGCAGGGGAGGGTCGGGGGGCTGGATGGGACCCCACCACCCACCTGCCGGGTGGCCCTGGGTGATGGTGGCAGCAGCTCCGTGTGTGGCTCCCTCTCCTGGGCTCCATCCCAAAGAGCAAGCCCAGGCACAGAACAGGGGGGTCCCCACGCTCAGCACCAGCGGATCCAGGCCCAGGATGGCCAGCAGTGGGGGGCATCCCTGGGGAAGGGAAGCTTTGGAGGGAGGATGCACGGGAGAGGAAGGGAGCAGGGCTGTCCCTGCACAGGGGCTCTGAGTGACCATATCACACAGATTCACAGATTTGACAGAGTTGGAAGGGACCTCTAGAGATCATCCAGTCCAACTCCCCTGCTAAGCAGGATTGCCTATCGCAGGATTGCCTGTCTGCCTTCCCAGCCCAGACACATCCCACAGACCCTGACCAAGGAGCAACGAAAGGAGCCCACCAGGGTCCCGGGAAAGCCCCTGGGGACAGTTCTGGAAGGCTCCTGACAGCAGGATGCTAGTGCCAACCCCAGCCCTGCAGCAGCATCAGGGAGGTGTCGGCGCGTGTCCCAGCCCCGGGATCAGCACCGGGTCCATCTTTGCATCGCGTTTCGCTTTCCCCATCAAGGTCATTCGGTACAGCAGCAATACCTGAGCAAACTAGCTAAGCAGCCGGGGTGGAAGTTGGCCTGACCACTGAAGGTCAAGTGTGCACTTATGCATATTCAAAGCTGCCTGCAGGATCGATCGGGTTTTAATTGTTTTTCCTGGGGTTTTGGAAGGAAGTGCCAGGGGCATTGATCAGTCCCAGCCGAGGCTGCTCACACCTCGGGGCTGGCAGGGACCGTGGCTTTGCTGCAGGCAGAGGGAAAGGCGAGCAGAGATGAAGGCAGGCCAGGGGAGAGGCCAGGGGAGAGGCCAGCCGGCCTCGGCCGGGAGGAGGAGCCATCGCCGGGCTGTGGTGGAAAAATAAAGTTTTTTAATTAAAATCGGCAATTCTGAGCCGCCTGCTGGCAGCAGCCACGCAATCAAAAGCGAGGAGCTTTGCTGTTTAATATTTAAAGAGAACGTTTAATCTTTAAATAGGAAAGTTCTTCTTCTGACTGTTAAAGCCAGGCAGAAAGTGCCGGAGGCTCTCTGACGCGGGGGCTCCCCAGCCCACCGGGATGGCCGTGGCCACCGGCTCACCGCAGCCACCGGGACACCGGTGACAACCACAGCTGCTCTGCCACCGGCTCTGCCACCGCTCCAGCCCCGCAGACCCCTGCCCCTGCAGCGCTTACATCCCTGCAGCAAACCCTGAGAAAGCCAGAGATGCCCCCCGTTTGCTCGCAAGCCAAAGGATTTTTAAAAAATGCCACGAAACCCTTTTTTTTGCAAGGAAATCACACTAATCTGTCCCTCCCTCTTGGTTCAGTCCTGGTGTTGCAGGGACTGGGTTGCCCCCTTCTAGGCCAGACACTGAAGCAGGACCAGGACCCCATGGCATTTTATTTTCATCTGCATTTTAATTGACAAAAAATGCAGGCATCTTTTTAAAAAAGCTATTTTTAAATGGTTTTGGACAAAATTCTGATTTAGAGACAAACTCAATGCCTCTGATCTGCTAAAAGCCACCCAAACGACGGTTGCAGAGTAATTTCCCAGCAGCTCGAGCACCATTATTTCCATTCATACCAGCTCCTAGAAAGGTCTCCCTTTTTTCCTGATTTTGTTTGTAATTCTATGAAGGCTGCATTTACCTCCCTGCCAATGCTGCTCTGAAGTCAGATGATTATTAATTATATTTATTTACTTATACAATCCCATAGGCATACGCAGCAGTTCACAGCCAAATACCGCCCTGGGTCCCTGATGCAGGGATCTCGAATCAAAGGTAAGCAGATACTCCTGTGATAAATGTGAGCTAAGAGCAGCAGGAGATTAGGAACATACTGTGTTCCCATGCATAGAGCCAGCACCACAGATAATCCACCAATCCACACCCTGTTAAAAGTGTCAGTTTGGGGAGGTAAGTCCTCAGGTAACCCGTACCTCACATAACCTGCAAAAAATCCCAAAAAATAAAGGTGAGGAGCTATCAGGGAATGAGACATGGGGGTACAGCAGCCTGGGGCAGGGAGATGGTGCGTGCACAGAATCACAGCACCTGGGGCTGGCTTTATAATAAAGCAAAGAGGGTCTGAGATCTTTCTCCTGTTGCTCTGGGTCACAAAATGTCCTGGTGGCCATGCTGCATCTGCCCCAATTTGCGAAGAGCCTGAAACAAGAGCTCCATGGACCACTCCTAGTAGCACTGGGGGTCAAAGATGGTCCTCTGTGCTGGGACAGGAGGGCACAGAGGGCACACCAGTGAGGCTGGGCAGTGCCATGGCACTGCTTGCAGGGAGAACACAGGATTTGTCCAGTTCTTGTAATAACAGTGCCCAGCATGGCACCGAGTTCACCCCACCTGCCCTTGCTGCAATCCCAGTACGAACCAGCCTCCAACCCCAGTAATGCTGGGGCCAGCAAGGTGGCAGCGCCGACACAGCCAGGTCCTGCTGCCCCCCCTCCCTGGGGCTTGTTTGGGCTACACACTGTGGTTTATAAGCAGCACAACTGCAGACAAGATGTTCCGAGGGGTCAGAAAATTCCCAGAACTGGAACTTGTCAAGCTGATGTATTGATCTAAGTGGACTGAATAATGCTCCATCATTTATTTATGGGGAAGTGCCCGGCACACTTCACAAAAACTGGTGTTCGGCAGTCACATTAAGGCAAGATTTAACGTCCCACATCATGCAAACAGGGCACCTGCGCAGAGGTCAGGATGTTCACTCCTGTGGGGAGCCTTACAAATCCTTCCCACACATGTGAGCAGGGACTGGGCTGGTCCTCAACAGACCTGCTGGAGCTCTGCGAGGGCAACGTGCCGCCGCCAAGCCAGCCCCATCCCTTCCACTCATGCCGGTGCCATGATCTGCTCGGCCACCCCCCGGCCCCTCTGCCTTCCACCAAAGCTGCTGGCACAGAGCCCCCTCCTGCCCTGCCCGGCAATCCTGTCGTTTTTCCATGTCCCATCAAGAGGTTTTAAATGTTTTACCCGCTAATTGTAATTTTAATATTAATACGGACACTTTCAGGCAGGGAGAAAATATTTCCTTTTGGAAAAAGATCCTCCCAGGAGGAAAGGGGCTCAGTGATTTGAGAAGATGCTGAAGTGTGGGTACTAAGGAATAATAATAATAAAAAAAAAAAAAAGTGGTTTTTTTTTTCCTGAAAGTTTCCATTAAAAATTTCAAAAAGACTTATGAGAAAAACATGCTTTTAAACAGCCAGAAGGTGGCTGTGAGATCTCCCCAGCTGCCCTTGGTCTGGGCAGGACGTGGGTGCTGGCTGTGCTCCCCCAGGATCAGGCCAGGCACGGCAGCCAGCCGATCAGAGCCACCCCCCTGACATTTTCGCAATGGAGAAAATGGCTTTGCGACAGAAAAGCATCTTCCTCCTCTTGTCATGTCAGCTGCGCGCCGCATCCGCCCAAAATAAGCATTTCCTCCTAACTCCCCTCATTCCACTGCCACCACAATGAGGTGTCAAGGTTTAATATTACTTGGTATGGTGGGAAGAAGAAAAGAGGTCACGTCTAC